CCGAGATCGCGCCACTGCACTGCACCGTGGGCGATAAAGAGAGACTCCGTCTCAAAAAAAAAAAAGAAACTGGGTCTTCCTGTGTTGCCCAGGCTGGTCTCAAACTCCTGGCCCCAAGTGATCCTCACTCCTCAGCCTCCTGAAGTGCTGGGATCACAGGCGTGAGCCGCCCGCATCCGGCCTGATGTGCGTTTTGGACTCCTCTGGCTGTGGACTTGCCTGGGCTGTGGGGCCCAGTGGGGCCTGAGAAGGTCCTGGAGAGGGCGTTTGGGAGGCGACCTGGGGGGAACATGATGGGGGGGTTAGAGGGGGGTGGGAGGGATGAAGGGCGGCCCCCACGTGGAACATTGAGGATTTCATTAGGATGGCACATCTGCTTGGGGTCCTGGGCCTCTGAGCTGGGCAAGGACAGTCGTGGCAGGTGTTGGGGCGACATGTAGCCCCAACCTGGTTCTTTGTCCCCCACCCCGGCAGGCAGTTCCTTTGAGACCCAGATCATCGGGGGCCAGGAGGTCATCCCCCACTCGCGCCCGTACATGGCCTCGCTGCAGAGAGGCGGCTCCCACCTATGCGGGGGGGTCCTGGTGCACCCAAAGTGGGTGCTGACGGCTGCCCACTGCCTGGTCCAGCGGTGAGTACCCTGCCCTGCCCGCCCCAGGGGTCCGGGGAATCCATCCGACGGTCCCCATTCTCTGCAGGGGGTGGGCTCTGGGAGATTTAGGCCAATTGTGGGAGCCCTCTCCCCTCCCGGTGACGGCCTAGGCAGATTTAAGTGACCTGCGCCTGTCAGACTCCTGGAGAAGGTTTACTCACTGCAAGAGGCACTGGCAGGGCACGCCCCTTCCCCGCTGCAGCCCGGGTCAGAGCCTGGCTGCTTTCACGGCTGAGCCACAGTTCTGGTGTGGACGGAGTGCATTGTGTCTGTCCATTCACCCGCTGATGGACCCAACTTAGTCTGGGGCTTCTGCTCCGAGGAAGGAGGGTCAGGTGGGGGTGTCTGCCACCTGTGGCCAGGAGGACGAAACCGGCCTTCGAGAGTGGCTCAGGAATCGACCTGGTTCCCGGGGATCAGAAAGCCGCTAAATGACCCATCTTGGAGTTGTCCTACCTCAGGACTGGCCAGTCCTACAGAGCCTAGATCAAGATGGTCAAAGTAACAGAAAGGGATCTGCTGGCTTGTGTAACTGCAAAGTCTAGCAGGAGGTCTAGCTTCAGGTGCGGCTTGATCCAGGCGCTCACAGGAGGCGCTCTGGAGCACATCTGTCTCCCAGCTCTGCTGCACTGCCAGGAAGCCTGTCTCACAAGGCGACAAAGATTGACCCCCTCAGTCCCGTGGAAAGAGGGTTTGGCTCTCTCTAGTGGGGGCACACTTAGGAGGATTGGCAGGTGTCAACCCCTATACAAATCACTGTGGTTGAGCCTGGGGCCCCAAGTGAAGGGAATTCCCAGGGCTGGTTTTCGTGAAGCTGTAGGCTTGGGGTTGGATTTCTGGACACACAGCCCTTGCCTGGGGCCAGGCCCAAGCAGAAGTCTGGGGTAGGGGTCAGAGCAGAGAGGGCTTCCTGGAGGAGGTGGGTTGAGAAGACACAGGGAAGAACTGGCCAAGCCAAGGCCTGTGAGGAGCAGTGGCTGTGAGTGATGGCCGTGGGCAACCGGCACAGTGGGGGCCAGGATTGTATGTGGCGGGTTGTCCACGCTGAGCCAGGCCGCAGCACCCTCATCCCGTCTGTCCCCAGGACGGCCCAGCTGAGGTTGGTGCTGGGGCTCCATGCCCTGGGCCACCCCGGTCTCACCTTCCACATCAAGGCGGCCGTCCAGCACCCTCGCTACAAGCCGGCCCCTGCCCTGGAGAA